ACAGACACCAGCAGAGGGTGGGGCCCTGCACACCACACCACCCCCCAACCCTCCAGCCCTCCCTCCAGTCTATGCAGCAGAGACTGGAAGAGGCAGCCACCCAACTGCAGGGCAGGCGACTGTCCTTGATGGACCTTGGGTGTGGCTGAGAGGCCTGCCTGGGGCCTGTACCCTTTCTCAGCACAGGCCAGCAATCCCGTGTGTGTGCCCTGGCAGCCCTTCAGGAGTCCCCCTCACCCAGCAGCCAGCAGCAGCACCTGTGAGAGGGCACCTCCAGGGGACTGGGCCGGTTACCAGGCACTGGGTTTTGCATGCTTTATTTCATCCTACTTTTCCCAGCAATGCTGCAAGTTAAGAGCTGTCATGCCCCATTTTACAGTTGAGGAAACTGAGGCTAAGAGGAGTTAAGAATTTGCTTAAGTCACTCTCCTAATATGTGACAGAACCAGCATTTCAGTTCAGGTTCTCAAACTCCAGAGCTAGGGTCTTACACTGAGGTATACGCTTTTTCCTTTCCCACCACCCAAATCCCGCATCAAATACACGGGCAGAGTTCCCTGGGGCCTCTGGGAGTGCCAGGGACACATGGCACTTTGTCCAGCTTACCTGAGTGCTGGCGTAAGCAGTGTTAGAAGGAGACCATGCCCAAGAGTAAAGCCACAATGGGGAATATATATGCCTAAGGAACTGGAAGCCCAAAATAGTGTAATCGGAGGGATCTTAGAGGTCATCTCTTAGAGCAGTGGTTCTCAACCTTCCTAATGCCACGACCCTTTAATACAGTTCCTCATGTTGTGGTGACCCCCAACCATAAAATTATTTTCGTTGCTACTTCATAACTGTAATGTTGCTACTGTTATGAATCGTAATGTAAATATCTGATATGCAGGATGTATTTTCATTGTTACAAATTGAACATAATTAAAGCATAGTGATTAATCCCAAAAACAATATGTAATTATATATGTGTTTTCTGATGGTCTTAGGCGACCCCTGTGAAAGGGTCGTTCGACCCCCCAAAGGGGTCGCGACCCATAGGTTGAGAACCGCTGTCTTAGAGCCATCCTCCTTTTACAGAGAGGGAAGTGGAGGCCCAGAAGGAGAAGTGGGGTCCCTGCAAACAGCACTTCTGACCTCCCTGCAACCTGCCCAGTGGCCTCAGAAGCCCTGCACTAGTGCCCAGACACTGGCAAGGAAAGTGGACTGAAACCCAGCCCCACCACTTACCTGCTGTAGGACTTGGCAGTCGAGAGCCTCACGGAGCCTCCGAGTCCTGCCTGCGGGTGTGGGTGTGTGACAGATACTGTGTGTGAGATGCCGCACAGCAGCTGGCACCTGCTATGTGCTCAGTGAAATGCCGCTATTATGATCACGCTTGTTGTTTTTCGAGGTTCAACGAATGTTAGGCAACACTGTTTCTTAGGTGTCGCTTTGATTCCATGGTTCTGCTGGAATCCATTCCTAGGACGGGAGAGGAAGCAGTGCTCACCATCATCTCTGAACACGGAAATCCATATCAGGGACGCTGAGGCTCAGCTCTGTGCCTGTTTGGGAATAGACTCTGGAAGAAAGACCATGGGCTGCAGCTGAGGTAGCAGCTGCTCGTGCCCATCTCTTCCAGTGGCTTGAGGCCCATCACTCAACCTCTGTGTCAAATTTCCGTGGTCACATGAGCATGGTAATTACCTGCCCCCTTGCCCCGGGCCCCAGGAGAGTTGATTGTGTCCATCTAAGGAAGGGTTGGCTGTGAAGTCTAACACCGTCCAGAGAGGCCACGGCTCCTGTGGGGTTTTCTGGTGAGGGTTGCGGGGAGAATGGGGAAGGTTTCTCTTTGGGACAGAGCTAGCAGGGAGTGACAATTTGGTGCAGATGTGTAGCATCCTCACCACGGAGCCCTGGGGAGTAAGGGGTGAGACTTGTAGAAATTCCAAATTTTGCCAAATTCCAGCTCCTCCTTCCTTCCCTCTCCTCATAGAGCCCCCCTCTGGTGCCATCAGACACCCCAGCAGCTGATTTCAGCTTGGTATGGTCCAGCTTCACCCCCATGCCTAGGGCTGAGTTTGGAGCCTTTCACTAGGGGTTAATCCGATGAGTTGGGATCCCACATCTTCTCACCTAGTTCTCTCAAGACCAAAAGCAACTGGACATGCATAGACCAGGCTGGGATGAGGGGAGCAGCCAATGACAACCTGGCTGTGTGAAGTGGGGACGGCAGGAGGGCGGTTCCCTTACACTTACTTGTCTGGAGATGCCTATGGGGCCTGATTCCTAAGGAGCAAGGACTCCCTGGCTCCCCACTGAAGGCATGACCTCTGGGTCTGCCCCATGATTCCTGCATCTAATATGTGTGTAGTTCAGTCCTGAGTGCTGGAGAAACGGGGAAATGAGTGGTGATGATGGGGGTGGCTGGAGTAAGGCATGAGCTGTGACCCCACCGTTTGCCTGATTCCTGAGGCGGCTTCATTTGGCACAGGGGTGGGGAACCTTTTTTCTGCCAAGGGCCATTTGAATAGTTATAACATCCTTCTCAGGCCATACAAACTTATCAACCTAAAAATGGGCCTGCTACATTTGGTCAAACATTTAATTAACTCATCTCAAATGCCTTGGCAGGGCCAGACTAAATGATTTCTTGGGCCTTATAGGGCCACAGGCTGGACATTCCCCACCCCTGATTTAGAAGGACCCTTTGTGGGCCTTCAGATCAACCACTGACCAGCAGGAAGCAAACTCCCTGGCATTCAAGGGCCTCCTGAGACCAGACTTGCCCAACCTGGCCAATTGCAACTTCCGTCAAGACCTTCCCAGCATCCTGGACCCCAGCGACACCAGGCAGCTCTTTGCCTTGAACCCATCAAATACTTCCCTCCTCAAAACCTTTTCTCTGGCTACTCATGAAGCCCATACCCTGCCCTGCCCTCCTCCTTCCCTGCCTCTTAAGAATTTATTCAAAGATTTATTCACCTTCTGTGAGAAGCCTTCCCTAACCTGGCAATACATTGCATCTTCCTCCACTTGGTTTGTTTAGTTAATATGTATTCATTTAGTGTCTGCTCTGTCTTCCAGCTGTGCTGGCCTCCTAGAACCAAGTTAGCCCCCTGTCTTCTGCCGGAGTGAAAGGAGTTCACGCGGGATTCTCTGTGGCGCCAGGGCTGGGGCAGAATCTCAGGGATTTTTGTGTCTGTTTCTCACCACCGAGTTTTGTACTTTGCCCAAAGTGTCAGATGGAGAGATGGCTTCTACTCTGGGCTCTGCCCACTAACTAGTTAGTCGCCTGGCCCTGGGCGCATCTTCAAGCTTCTCTGGCCTCCCTTCTTCCTGATGGAATGGTGAAAATGACCTCAGGGTTGTCCAGGGGACACTGAGGCAGGATGGAGGGAAGCACCACGAAAGCTGGAAGGTGTGGGTTGGGTGGACCCCCATTCTCCTCTCACTGGCTGTGCAGCAGCGTCGCGTCTCCTTCCCTCTCTTCGAATGTCAAGTGCACCAGCTTCCCTTCTCTCCTGAAGCGGGTCCCCGGGACGCTTGGACTCCTAGGCCGAAAAGGATTCCGGTGCAAACTTCGAGACTTTCCTCCCGCCCAGTCGCCCCTTCCCAAGGACTCGCCGAACACACCTTAAACCCCGCGCTAGAGCGCAATTCAAGCGCAGCTCGGATCCGCAGCTCCGCAGCGCGGGCCCGGGCCGGGGTCGCGCATCTCCAGCC